AGATAATAAGACACTGCTGCTGGTCATCCTCTGCATTCCAGGCCATCTGCGACAGTCTCAATTTTGTCGTGACATTGGACCCAGATGGACAGGGATACGAGAGTGAGGCTGACGATGTTGCGTAACGCTCCCTCTCTTACTCGTAAATCAAATTCAAGCCCAAGTCATGACTTCATCACCACAATCACCCCATGACGACCTTCATACTTCTCAAGTCCTGTAGCGATGGACAAATGGCCAGGCGACAGGGTACACTGGCAGTCGTAGTCAAAACCTTACACGTAGGTGGCCCGCTGGAACTCGGCAGCCACCTGGTCGACGAAGCAGCCCTTTTCAGGACAGCACTGAGGACGGAAAAGGAAAACGTTTCTGAAAAATTGCCTTTCTTGCCCTTCCATGGCCAGCGTGCCGCGGTTGACAGGGGTCCCACACCAGCAGTAAGAAGAACTGAAAAAAATACATGTATAAGGTGACCATAACTTTGATGCATCGAATGTGCGCACCCTCCTTGGTCATGCAGGGAGTAACCGTCTCAAAAGACGGACTTCCCTCATTGCTAGCGAACTGGGCCGATATAAAGTAGACAGGTTGCCGCCCTCAGTGAGACTCGCTTTGCTGAGGAAGGACAATTCACAGTGCAGTCTGCCGGCTACACGTTCTTCTGCATCTGTCGTGGACTCGACGAGCGTCGCGAGGAAGGAGTTGGTTTTGCCTTCAAGTCCAACCTGGTCAACAAGCTGGCAGCTCCCCCTAAGGGATCAACGATCGCCTGATGATAGCCCGCCTCCCGCTCCCCAATTAGAAATTCGCCACGCTGATCGGCGGCGCTTACGATCCCACCATGACCAACCCCAACGAGGTAAAAGAAAGATTCTACGAGAACCTAAAGAATATCATTGCAGTTGTACCCAGTGCAAACAAACTCATTCTCATGGTGACCTCAATGCTCGAGTCCGCAGAAATCACAAGTCGTGGGAGGGAGTGTTAGGGAAACACGATGTAGGCAACTGCAACAGCAACAGCAACTGGCTCCTCCTTTTGGAAACCTGCTCTGTCAACGATCTTCCGTCTATTCAACCTTAACAAGACGTCATGATATACCCACGCACCACGGCAAGACCGAGTCCCAGATACTGAGTTACTCCAGCGGGCCGAAATGGAGAGCATCAACACTATCCTACTGCGTGTCCAGCTCCGATGGGCCTGCCATGTTAAGCACATGACCGACTCGATCTCGGCTCCCGAAGAGGTTACTTTATGGTGAGCTGACCATAGGCAAACGTTCTCTCGGTGGACACAAAAAACCAACCCCTTCAAAGGTGCACTGAAAGCTTCCCTGAAGCGATGTGACATTTCCAATACACGTACCACATGGGAAGAAGCTGTTCTTCTATGCGCAGTTTGATGCTCCTCTGTAAGATCTGGATCTGCTAAGTTCGAAGAAAGACGCATCAGAAACAAGGAATGTGACAGTACCGGTAATGAGAAAAGACCGAGATAGAGCCCTACCTCCCAGTCTATTTCAACCCCAAACATACCCCCCCCCCTTTCCCACTGCAACAAATATTTCCGAGCAAAAACCGGCCTGATCAGCCACCTCAGCACCCCCCCCCCCCCCCCCGATTGAAATCAAGGTAATTCTCATATATGACTGGGACCTGTCTTGTTTTCCTTAACACTTCCACATTGGTGACCCTGTCTGTCCATCTGATCATCAGTAACTTTCTTAGACACCTGTTCAAGAAAACCTGGATCCTCTTTATGCAAGTCTGTGATGCGTTCCATGTCTCACATCCATACAACAAGACCGACTTCACGTTTGAGTTGAAAATCCTCAACTTAGTTCAAAGTGAGATATCTCTGGTCTTCCAAATCCTATCCAAAGATATGAAAGTAGCCTGTGCTTTTCCAATGCGGGACTTTATTTCAGCACCTGTTCCTTCCTCTCTGTCAATTATACTCCCTATATAGCAGACGGATTCAACGTTTTCTAGTGCCTTTCCATCTATTGTGACCTTCTCCTTTCGTTGTGCATCTGTCCTTAGGACCTTTGACTTTCCGGGGTGGATCCTCAATCCAACAGACTCCGATCCACCCTCAATCCAACAGACTCCGATAGGCTATTTAATACTGAAGTCTTTGCTTGCATCTGTTCCTTGGTGTGCGACAGAAGCGCCAAGTCGTCTGCAAAATCCAGATCGTCCAACTGTATACCATTTCTGTGTCCTCTGGTGGTTTCCTTCATCAGCCAGTCGACTGCCAATATGAAGAGGAACGGTGATAGTAAGCATCTTCTGTCTCACACCACTCCTGATGTCAAAGCTATCAGTGAGCTGGCCACAATGTACAACCCTGCAACTTGTCCCTTTGTACATGCTCTTGATGAGGTTCCCCAACTTCTGTGGGATTCCGTGGTGTCTCCTTATCTTCCATAGTGTTGCTCGGTCTATACTGTCAAAGGCCCTCTCAAAGTCAAGGAAGTTGACAATCAACTGGGAGTTCCACTCCAGGGACTGTTCCACTATAATCCTCAGCGTGGCAACCTGGTCGGTGGTTGAGCGATTTTTCCAGAAACCAGCCTGTCCATCCCGTAGTCTTGAATCCGTTGCTGTCTTGATTCTCTCTAGAAAGATTCTGTTGAAGACCATACCTGGTATTGAGAGAAGAGTGATCCCTCTGTAGTTGCTGCAGTTGCTGAGATCCCCCTTTTTTGGAAGCTTTACTATGTGTCCTTCTTTCCAATCCTTTGGGAACTTGCTCTCATTCCAGATCCTGGTAAACAGTGGGTGGAGGATGTCTGCCGTCACATTGGCATCTGCTTTTAGGGCTTCAGGTGGAATCTGGTCAGGACTGACCGCTTTACCTTTATTCAGCTTCTTAAAATGGCGTCCAGAATCTCTTGTTTTGAAGGAGCATCACAGCAGATTGGTAACTCACTTCTTCCTGGCAGGATGTTTGGTGGGTTACTCGGTGGTGGTCTGTTCAGGAGACTGCTGAAATGCTCTACCCATCGTTTAGACTGAGCTTCCTTTCCAAAAATGGTTTTCCCCTCTTGGTCCTTTACTGGTACTTCAGGTTTCCCATATTTTCCAGCAAATGTCCTTGTGGTCTGGTAAAGGATTCACATGTGCCCTCCTACCGCTGCTTCCTCTGCCTTCTCTGCCAGCCTGTTCATGAATTCCTCCTTGTCTTTTCTTAGTGATTTCTTGACATCTTTAGCTGTTGCCCTGTACTGCTCCAGTGCATCCGTTCTTGATCCTCTTGTTCTACTTGTATTCGCTTCTGCCTTCAGCTGTCTTCTTATCCTAATTAAATACATTGATTGTTGACTAATCCATTCCTTGTGCTCCCATTTGTTCACACCGTTGATGTAAAGACTTCTTTGACCTTGGTCCAGTGTGTATCCACCTCCGTGTCCTCTCCGTCAAGATCAGCCAGAGGTTGAAATCTGTTCCTCAGCTGCAGCTGAAACTCTTCTTTCTTGTGTCCGTCCAAGAGACTTGCTTTGAACTTTGTTCTTTTGACTCCTGTGCTGGTTCCGTGTTTTTTTAGTCGAAGCTTGAGTTTTGCCAACAGCAGCAGATGATGATCCGATCCAACATCTGCCCCTCTCTGTACTTTGACATCTTCCAGTTAACGCCAGAACTTACGAGAGATACAAAAATGATCTATCTGTTTCTCTGTCACTCCATCTGGCGAAACCCATGTGGCCTTGTGGATCCTCTTGTGGGGTAAAACAGAGTCTCCAGTGACACAACTGTTGAAAGCACATATTTTTGCGAATCGCTCACCGTTCTCATTCATTTGTCCCAAGCCATGTTGTCCCATAATTCTTTCATACCCCATGTTGTCCTGACCAATCCTTGCATTGGCATCTCCCATTATGAAGTTGACATCATTCCTTGGTAGTTTGTCGATGACCCCTTGGAGCTGGCTGTAAAAGGCATCCTTGTCTTAATCCGAAGCATCATTTGTTGGGGCGTAGATCTGTACTATATTCGTGTTGATGCTCTTGCTCCTTGTAGTAAATGAAGCCATGATGATCCTTTCCCCGTGTGGTTCCCATCCTCTAAGTGACTTCTGTGCATACTAACTCAAAATGATTCCCTCTCCTTCGCATGGTACTTGCCTTCCCTCCCAGAATACAATATATGCTCCCCCGAGCTGAGCTGTTTCTGTCCAGACTGTATCCAGTGTGTTTCGCTGACTCCTAGTATGTGCAGCCTGTATCTCTTCATCTCTTGTACTACTTGAGAACTCCTTCCTGCTTCATACAAGGTGCAAACATTCCATCACGCAATCCGGAGAGACTTGTTCGACAGAGAAGGTTTCGTGTCAGAAGAGCCCTTTCGGCTTTGTCCGCTGTCCTTCATTGTTCCTGCTGACGCAGAAGCTCCTCCGTCTCCCAATATTGAAAAATAAAAGCTGTGTTTGTCCGTGTTTCTGTAACTTACTGGTTTTTTTTTTTACTGGGTTGGGTAGTTGGCCCTCCGCAAACTGGCAATTTTCGGGCGACCAGACCTATGTACGTTTAGTCGCCTCTTACGACACGCAGTATCACGGCAGATGTATTCTTTGCTCCCTCATAGTAAAATTATGGGCTCCCCCACCACCAGGGGTGGGGACACTTTAAAATCATACTTTGTTGGATTGTTGGGGATGGGTTAGAGTCCGGCAAAAGACTCGGGGAGTCCAGAGTGTTGGCCTGCCTAATTGATTTTCCAAGTCGGCTTGAGAAATCAGTCCGAGTGAGAACGACTCCTTTGCCGCTACCGTGATAATAATGGTGAAATGCTTTCCATCTTAGTAAACAGACAGTTTAATGAGAAAGAAGGAGTGTGAAACACCTGAAAATCAAATAACGACAGTGTGAATCCAGCATAAAAATGTATAAACTTTAAAAAAAATCTGAAAACTTTTGAAAACGAAGATTTTTACCGCTCTTTATACTTTGATGTTACAAACATTTCCATTTTCTAAACCTCAAAATCGAAAGAGCTTCAAGAAAACAGATTGTTTGAAAGAACTCGAACAGTGAGCAATCTAACACAGCCAAACAACATCTTATCAGCACTATTATTTTGGGTAAATTTTCATTGTTCTGCTGGTGTCCTATTGTGGTACTTGGTCAAAGTTGATAATTGATGTTGTGTGAAGTAGTCAAGAGAGATCTTAATTGATAATTCTGCTGAGAGACGGTGTAGGAGGCGTCTTGTAAGACTTGTAAAGTCTTGTTTTGGTTAGAACAAACTGGGGGTTAAGACAAACTGAAATCATTCTGCACTCTAGATCTACTTCTGAGGCTGAAATCAATAGAAGGCCTTTAAGGTCTAGAATCTAGATCTAGATACTACCCTACTTAGAATAAGGCTGAGACTACACTGAGAGGTGAAATTTTAACATTTTAACAAATTAACATGTCGTAGTCCTACTAAAATGTAGATTTCTATTTTAATAATAATAACAAAGTAGATTTTTTCTAACTATTTCTCCGAACATTCGGGAAAATAAACTACTCTATTTCTCTGAATGGTTTCCATTCTCGAGATTTTTGTTAAGGTCACCTCTCTATTCTCACCCGGAGTGAGAATAGTGCAGGCGAGTCTTGTGGCTATTCTCACCCGCTACGCGTTCACCAAATTTTGCGTTCACCGTAAACCACAGAATTCTACACTGTGATAACAGAAAAATTGTAGAATTCTGTGCCGTGAACAAACGTTCCATTACAACTGTAGCCTACTAAAAGCGTACAATTTTGTCTGTGGGCAGTGGAGAGAGAGAGAGAAAGAGAGAGAGGAGTAGCGCGAGAATTTCCGGGCAAAACAAAATGGCGACCCGCGTAGTTCGGCTCGATTCGAAAAGTTAAATAGCCGTAGCATCTTTGTAGACAACCAAATTAATTTACTTTTGTGTTTTAACATCATTTTTTAACTTTGTTTTGGTCAATTTGATCGTCCACACCGATAGACAGTATTCAGAAAGAGACAGAGAGAGAGAGAAGAGGGGAGGAGTTGATTTTGCGAGAACTTCCGGGCGGGTGAGAATAGCCACTTTCTTTTGTTAAATAATTGGAAGAGGCTAGCCGTACTTAAGGAGGGCTAGACTATCAGGCTAGCCGTACTTATTATTGATCGCTGAATTGTAAATGAAATTTTTAGTTTGCAATGCCTAAATTTTAAAGTAAAGTAGATCTAGAATCTATTGTATTTCAGAAAAAAACCAAAAGGCGCCTTTCTGACTTGCATATATTTTAAACCTGAATAATTACTAGATCTAGATCTAATAATACCTGTGTACACAACAGGTTTTAGTCAGTAGGGCCAAACCTAGAATCTAGATCTAAGTACAGCTAGCCACTTTTGCGAGAGTTTGGCGTCATCTTTCATTCTGCCATTCTGCGAGGACTGGGAAGTTCAAGCATTTTTTGCATGGAATTCAATTTCTAGAGCTAGAAATTTTTAAAAGTCTGAATATTCAGATATACTTCAATTGTGGTTGGGGCAACGTTTGCGGACTATACTTCATTTGAAAATGCCTTCCAAAGGTACTGCGAGAAAACAAGACTGATAGACCTTGGCAATAACCTATGTTGCATTTAGTCGCCCGGCAAAAACTAAAATCCTTCTTCTTGTAAAAAAAGAAAAATCCCTCCACGTCCTCTACCCCCCCCCCCCACCCCGTTCACACCTTACACTTACACACACACAGACACACACACACACACACTCGCACACACACTCACACTCACTCACACACACGTACACTCACTCACTTATTTTATATACACAATACACACATGCACACTCACTCACACACACACATATATGACATGCACACTCACTCACACACACACACACACGGGCCATTTTATTGACAATTGTTCAACAAATCTTGAGAACAGAAACCGTTCAGAGTTCTAAATAGAGTTCAAGAAGTTTATTTTCCCGAACGTTCGGAGAAATAGAGCCTGCCTAATAATAATGAATCCAGTTTAAAAGATTTTTATCTCACATGCCATGCTTAGCACACAAAAATGTTAATTTTAGGTTGGAGCTGTGGAGAAATTTTCCGTAAGTAAGGAAGAGGCTAGCCATACTTAAACTTAATGACGGCTAGACTGCTAGGCGTACGGCTAGACTGGCAGGCTAGCCGTTCTTAATGACGGCTAGACGGCTGGGCTAGCCGTTTATATGTTGGCTAGACTGACAAAAAAATAAAATAAAAATAGGCCTACTGAATTGTAAAATTTTTAGTTTGCAATTCTAAAGTATAAAACCAGGTGCCTTGCTGACAGTGTATTATTTTAAACCTGAATGTTTACTTATGAATGAGACCTGTGTACTCAACGGGGTTCTAATGGGGCCTAAAATAAGTACGGCTAGACTGGCAGGCTAACCGTACTTAATAATAATGGCTGAATATAAATGAAAGTTTAGTTTGCCTTACCTAAAGTATAAATTTGTATTTTAGACGAAACAAAAAGATGCCTTGCTGACATGCACATTTTAAACCAGAATAATTACTAGATCTATGAGACCTGTGTACTCAACAGGTTTCGGTAAATAGGGCCAAACCCAGCTCCAAGTACGGCTAGACTGGCAGTCTAGACTATCAGCTAGCTGTACTGGCTAGCCACTTCGATTCCGTAAAGAGCGACCACTATCATCTCTATGAAACAGTAGAATAAATAGAGGTTTAGGAAGGGTTTACACTAGTTTGGGTTTTAATTTTGGGGTAGGGGTTGGGTTAAGGTAAGTCTCTTCTATGATTGTGTTTGCTGGGGTGGTCGCTTGGTACGAAAGTCTTTTTGGAATTGAGTTGAATACAGACAATCAATTCAAATATTAGTAAAAAAAAATTGTGAATAGGAGGATTACAAGTTGAAACCTGTTGGCCCTTGTCTATGCATGTACTTTTGTGAAAGGAAGTTTGTACTGTGAAGGAAATGGAAGGACTGGCAAAATCTCACCTCTTATCTACAGATGTCACATTGTGGGTGGTTAAAATAATAAATTAAAGAATATGACCTTATGCAGTTGCAAGCGTCGTAAAACCCTCTACCATAAACAAAAAAAGACTCAAATTGGAAAATTCCATAATAGACCTGCGGAAGGCTACACAGTTCAGAAGCGAGGTAGAGGTGTGACTTAAAAGTGTATAGCTACCTCTGTACTGAATCAAAATGCAGGCTGCAGCACTTTTTTTTATATTTTAGACTTAGACCACTTAAACCATAAGGCATGATATCAATATTTATAAATTGTTATTATTACATTGTCTTGTATTATTTTCTTTCGAATTTTATATCATGTAAGCACTAAGTCATTTTCTACCTTTTTGGACATAATTTTTACATAAATATGGATCACCTCCATGTACCAAGTAGGCCTACATGTTATGTTATGACGCGGTGGAATGATCAGGCACTCGTCTATGTACTGGCATAGTTATAATAAATTGGCTTGATATTGATTATCATCAATAGTTTTGATAAAATCTTTTAGCTTGTTCATTTATCTTGCTTTTGATAAAAATAATTTCTAACATCTATTAAAATTTATAAGTGAAGAGATTTGTGATTTAAAGAGGTGGAGGTCTGCTGTTGTCTGAGGAAAAATCAGCGAGAAAATGACTGCCAAAGTTTGGTGACTTCCAAAGCTGTACTGAGTTTGTACTACATAGTGTCCTTGGAAATTGCAAATTCCCATTTTTATTTTTATGTGCCTTTGATCAATCTTTTTCAGCAAATTCCTTTCAGGAATCTGTTTTTAAATGGACGTAAAAGGTTTTGAGCCGTATTTTTGCCCAATTCTGTGAATTTTAATTAGCGTGACTTCAATGTTGGAGCCCCACTCGAGCACTTCCACTGGCACTCGTGCGATTTTATACCCACACCATTCAGACTATCTGCACTGCTAAGGGCTCACATAGATGGGTTAACATATCTACTCCCAAAGTGTACCTCTACTCCCCTTCCTCGCCTGGTGCTATGGCGTAAAGTTAAGAGCCGACGGAACCAAACTTGCGAGTTTTGTTTCATCTCCGGGTTGAGTGGGCAAAGCCTTTTCCTTCTCAGACAGGTAAAAACCGTAGAAAGGGAGCATATTTTTCTTTCTGCTTCCGCATTTGACAGGTTTCCATTTTATACAGGTAGTTAAAGAGGAATTTATCAAGGGAGGAGCGAGGATAGAAAGCTGTATTTTGCATCACTGAAGGAGGTTGTGTTACCAGGTTGAGTTGTCAGGGGTAAAGTAGGTAAAATTAACAAACAAATGACTGCCAAGTTTATTGACTTCAAAACTTTGAGTATCTGGAAACTGAATATTTACATTTTTTGTGCCTTTGCTCAACATTTTTCTGTGAAGTTTACACAGAATTGTCTTTTCAAAATGGACTTAAAATCAGCCGTTTGTCAATTTTTGGGCATATGGAGTTACATTGTATTGGTATTATTCGTTTGTCTTGCTTCTGATAAAAAGATATAGCTTTCTTAAAAAGAAGTCCAGATATTTGCGACCGAAGGAGGTAGGGGTTGCCTGGTGTCAGAGGTAAAATGAGTGAGAAAATGGCTGCCAAAGTTTGATGATTTCCAAAGCTTAAAAAAGAGTCTTTGGAAACTGTAAATTTACATATTTTTTGTGGTTTTGATCAGTGTTCTTCGGTGAAATCCCCACAGAAATGTGTTTTTGAACAGACATGAAAGGTGTTTAGAAAAATAGAAAAAAATGAAATCAATAAAAATTTGGCACGTAGCCGGAAAAATTGTGGCTTCTTCGATTTCATTATTTTGAAGAGTACCGGATTTCACCACAGTGCAACTCGTGTAGATGTGGCTACAAGCTTTTTTGAGGAGGCTTTGTTTTTTGTATCTCAAAGAGGAGTGATATTGTAATGTACATTCTATGACCCTAGTAATGTGTGCCTAGATGTGGAGTATGGAAAGTATAATTTTATACCAGTGCTTGAACTGACATGCAAAAAAGGAACATAAATTCAATACAGAATGCTAACCTACAAAAGGAGGCTTCTAAATTTTGTATTCTTCACCCTTTAATTCAATCCAATACCACAGTTCAGAAGAAATAGGCTTATATCATCAAACTTTTTTATAAGATTTAAAAATTGAACTGGTCTCTATTTTATGTCTGTATAGTCCATGCTCGTGTAGAAATAAAGTAGTTGTTGTATAGATAGCTATAGGTCTTCACCCTTGTGCCATCATTGTGGTACTTATTGATTACTTCTTCTGGCTGATGTACTGATTTTTGCTTTTGTTTTTCTCTTTTATAAAGAATATTATGGCCACTGGAGGGAGCCCGTCTCAGAGAAGGAGAACCAGGGCTCGCCGAGGATGGGTTGAGCCTGCTGTCGTGGACAATACTGATGATGATGTTGTCATCGCCGACCAAAGAACAAGTATACACTTCTCTTTATTCGTATTTACTTTTGTGTTGATGGTTAGAGGGCTGGATCTACTTGGAGTGTCAGTCCCACAGACTTGAGTTTTGTATTTGGAGGCCTCCCCGATACTTGAGATGAAATAAGAAAATTTATCTAAATTAATCCCAAATGGAAAATATACCAGCACGAGAACTTTGGATGATAGCCACAGCACTCCTGTTGTCTGGCTCTTGAGTCTTGTATTAAACTTAAAGTTAAATCAAGTCTTTGATATATGCAAAGTTATGTCTGATTATTTTCTCATGACTGGAAAATAGGTTTTTGTTGTTTTTTTTGGGGGGGGGGGGGGTTTGGTCCCGTGTCCTGATTTCGGTGCCGATATTTGTAGGTTGCGTAAAAATGTATGGAAATTGTGCAAATTGTTATGTTTCAAGAAAAAAGAAACAAGAAAAGCACAACAAGAAAAAGAGGAATTATTTAGTCTGTGATGATAATGATCATGATGATGGAAAAATGGATTTTTAAATTCGGCCTTTCATCATCATTAATTTCTTTAATTGCTGCTTCTGTCTTTTCTATAATTTTAACAATCATTCTTTCTTTTCAGCAGCGTGCATAGACCTGACTACTGATACCTCAATAGAAGAGGTGATTGACCTGACTCACTCTCATGGAATCATGGACAGTCCTGTTGTGGTTTGTATGACTTTTATTGCCACTTGAATTCCCTACTGAGTTGCCCGTTTTTCTGGAATTTCTGCAATTTTAGAAGTATTGATGTTGCCAGTGTTTTGTTTATCCTTTGACCATTTTTTTTGGTCAACAGCATAATATTCTCATTGTTGGTTTCTAGCGAGCTGTGCACAAAGTTACCCTTTACAGACCACTGAATAACTCTTTAAACACTGAGTTTTTTTCCACTGTTTCCCGGAGTTTTTTCTACAGTCTCCTAAACCTGGTGCATATTATAACCCAAAAGTTTGCCTCCAACTTCTAAATGGCGGAAACAAATGCTTAGTCTTTACTAAAAAACTTGGTTGGGGAATATTTCCGAAAAACAAGCAAAAACTAGCTCTAAATAAAACGAAAAATAAATGTTGTCACAGTATCAGCGTCCGATGGTGAACAGGGTTATTACCGCCGGACGTTCCCAGCGTCTGATAAGGTTTAAAGAGTTAAGACTGTCAGTTACAAGTATTTACTTGTGTACTGTACTGTGACTGTGCATTTTGTAATAGATACATTGGTGCTCCCAGACTTTGTTTTCTCTCCATACTTATCACATCAGACTAAAAACTAAAGAAAGTGGTTTTGATTTGTAAAAGCTTCCACTATGCCATGCAATATTAATATGTGGTCCATATTCGTTTTTTTTTTACCTTTGTTTTTTTCATTACGAGTTTTTGTGAGCTTCAGGAGACTACATGATATTATACAAGTAGAAAAGATTATATTTTGTGATTGTTGTTGGTGTATAGGATCATTGTTTCTTTCTGTCACAGGTTCTTACTCCTGCTGATGATATCGGTGAGTGGTTTACTTTATTTAGAACAGTTTTCTGCGAACTTTTTTGTTTTTGCAACGGTTGCTTCCTGAGATTGCTTCCTGAGATAAAGGCTTTTAATAAATCTTGGAGGTTATTATGCTTCTCCCCGAGTTTATGCTGAAGCATTGTGTTGTGCATTAATTTGGAGTTTAAATATTAATACATAAAACTTACAATTGAAAGCTCAGTTTGAAATGTTGGTAGTCTGGGATCAGCTGGTATCTCACAAAACCAACTGGAAGCCTTGCTTCTTATGCAATTCCACGTGATCTGCTTTTACACCTCTGAATAGAATTTATGGTTTAGTTATGTTGGTGACTTGCATGAACAAATTATTTTTAGGCCCCGTCCGACATCGGCGTGGACGAGGACGACTGGGAAGGAGGAGAAGTGGCAACAGTGGAGGACCAAGCAGGGCTGCGGGTTCGAATGCGAACCGGCGCAGTCGAACCTCCCCATCTACTAACGTACATGAAGTGTCTTCTAACAGTGATAGTGACAGTGACGAGCTGCCGGAAATGCCTTTCACTGTCCCACCTCAAAAGTGAGTTAATGGAAATGGTTTTTTTAAATAAACATTTTGAACATTTGTGTCACGACGCGGTGGCGTCTGGCACTAGTCAATGTTTGCACTTGTGAAGTTATTAGTATCGTCTTATAGCTTGTTCATTTGTCTTTCTTTGGAGGAAAAAAATGCCCATTTATCTTGAATAGAAGTCGAGATATTTATGGCCGAAGCAAGTGGGGGTCGCTTGATTTCAGAGTTGAAATTAATGAGTAAGTGGCCGCCAAAGTTTGGTGACTTACATAGTTTGAGAGTGCTTGGAAGCTGCTTATTTACATTTTTTGTGCCTTTTATCAATGTTTTACCGAAAAATCCCCACAGAAATATATGTTTTCAAATGGACGTACAAAGGTGTTTAATCAAAAAACAAAAAGTCTGTACAAATTGTCAAACTGGTGGAAAAATGCTGGTTTCTTCGATTTCATTATTTTGACAAGCGCCTCAATTCACCACGATGCCTCACATTTTGTTTTCACGTGTGGAATTGAAAAGACAAAACCCATTTTAAAAGTCTTCTAGACTGTGTTGACTTATGTTTAGAAAAACGAAGAGACCATTTATAAGTATGGAAATACCATATAGTATATCGAAATTTGAAAATTGCTTCCTTCAAAATCGCATGGTTTAATAAAATAAATCCTCTTGAGAAAATAGACTAAACTGCTTCCCATCAATACTTAATGCAAGCTCAGCTTCATTGTCGAGTTATGAGTCTCTTTTCAATGTTATGACATGTGCATGGTAGGTGAAACTTAATTTTAGGCTGGTATTGATTGGAATATTTTAAGTTTTGGATATTCACAGTTATTCTTTATCAAGTGTTAGACTGACTTACATTGTATATAAGGGTCATAAGGTGCAAGTTATGTAAATGCTCGAGCATAAAGAATCCTAATATAGTTTATGACTTGCAATAAAAACTTTCATTCGTGAAGGCTGGGTCACTTGTACAACTAATGAGAAATTCACGATAGAGGTGTTTGGTTTATTTCTCTGGTTTCTAACCTGTTTTGGTCAAGCCTTGTGAGAGCTTGTCTGCACATTTCGTGAACTTTGTGATAAATTATGGGGAACTTCACTATTTGATTGTTTATTTAAGGACTTAAGCCATGAATTAAACTCTGATAAGCCTTATACTCTGTTTTAAATCTCTTCCAGCACTGCCAGTAATAGCCTGCTACAGTCTCCAGAGCCTGTGAAAGTTTCGTGTCCAATTTGTTTGGACGATTTGAAACAGGTGAGGTACTATGCATTATGTGTAAGTACATCTTTCTCATAAGTTCAAATAACTTGCAAATCTAAGTCTAAAAGTGAATCAATTTATTTGCCTTTTAAAAATCAGTTTGATGTTTATGTTTTGCGGGAGCATGCTGCAGCCCGCCGCCCTAAATCTGTGTTTTTATCGGTCAATTGCAAGCCTTGCAGTTAAGTAATACTAGCAAATTTGGTACCGGTAAGCTCGTCTTTTCTTCCTGAATACGAATCCAGGCAATGCTTATGGCTAAAACTCCTTGCAGAAGAATTAAGCCAGGTGATTATCCTGCCGTACATGTAACGTCATACAGGAAACCAGGAGTGGCAAATTTTCCAACTAACATGACATACACGGTGTGCCACACAACCAAAAATTATGTTTTCTCATGACGTACAAGGTATGTCAGAAGGCAACGAAGAGATTAAGAGCTGAACTTGGATACTTTTGATGGAGATTCTGTATTCTATCGTTACTCGTGACAAGATATAAATTGTAATTACGCTGAAAAATGCTGTTATTCATTTTTTTTTTTGGTACTCGGGCACAGAAAAGTTATTGGTCAGAAACTGATGGCTGTAAAAAATGCGCTTACAAACAAAATTACAAAAGTTTTCATATAATTGACTTGGGTATCAAATTTTAAAATTTGTACTAGTTTTGAAAATACTCCATACTTTTTTTCAATAGGGGCATTTTGGTTTTTTCTTTTTCAGATAAGGCATACACATCGTCAAGTGATTTCCACAAACTGTGGCCACATATTCTGTGATGAGTGCATTAAAACGGCCATTGACACCCAACACGCTTGTCCCACCTGTCGGAAAAAACTGACAAAGAAAAGTTTTCATCCATTATTTTTATAGATGGGAAGTATAAATGTGTTGTCCTGGAGAGGGTTGGGAATTGGGAAGTTTTACACTAACTTTCTCGCCTAATATTTGTGGATCTTCATCAAAATTGTCGCTGTTGGTACTGTCATTGATCACTTCTGTATGCAGTAACATGAGAGTTGTACTGATTCCATACAGGCATTATAAAATCCTTCACATTTAGCCTAACTTCTGGTTATTACTCTTGATGAACAAATTAGTCCTTATGCTGAAAACTGGACTTTGGGAAATCTTCTATACAGTGAAACTCGGATATAATGAAGTCGTCCAGCCTGACCCTCAACCTTTGTTTTCGTTGGATCTGAGTGATCTTTAGAGCTATGTGAGCAACAAGATGTGTGACAATGTAGCGTTGAGCATACGGCAACGTCTGTTTTCACAGACCTGTACCCAATTCATTATGTTTATGTAGTTTTAAATCTCGAGGCTTGTATTTCATTGCTCAGTAACTGCAGAGAGAGTTTATCTCTGCCGACTTTCCACTTTCCACACCAGCAACACTTGCGCTTATGCACCCCCCACCAACCCTCGCCCCTTTTTTTTCCAACCCCCCCCCAGACACAAGCACTGACAGCCACACATGTGCTGGCCACCCACCCGACCTCTCTCGACCCAAGCACACACTAAAACGTGTCATATTTAATGCGCTTGTCAACTACGCGCTCGTTGGTGTGAAAGAAGACTTCTGATTGGTCGTATAAGATGTACTGATATACACAATAGGGTAGCCTAAGATAAGCGGGTAATGATCTACTAACAGTGCATTTGCAATGGATGGTCTCTTGGAACAGAGTAGACAAGGTGTGTTGCAGGAGAAAAATGTGCGAAGCCATATCAGTGAGAGCTGTTCACAATGAAAGCGACTTCATTGAATCCGAGTTCGCTAATTTATTTGTTTGTTAAATTCAAGATATTTGATTGATTTTAATGAAATAAGAAAAAAACAGGGAATCTGTCACCTTTTTTAAAATCCAAATTTTCGTTGAATCTGAGTTAGTTGAATCCGAGTTCCACTATTTCTTGTTTCAGCTTATATTCAGAACAAATTTTCCTGGGTTAATTTCACTTAAAGTAGAGTGGCTCAAAGTAATGAAATTGAAAACGTGGTAGAATTTTTTTTGGTGAGCTTTTGACAAAGCATTGGATGTGGGAAAGTGTGACTGACATAATATTTCGCAGGATCAGCTATAAGTTGAAACATTGTTGGTTTCTGTAGCTGAAGGCTGCAAATGTTTTTTGTGTGGAGATTTCAGAGTGTTTTTAATATGTTCCCGAGAAAAATATTTTTAGGGGGAGTTACCGCGTTGTGATTGTATGTTGTGCACGTTAGAGGTGAAAGAAGCGGAGAATACTTGGGAGGTAATACTTTGCTCATATTGTCTTTTTCATGAATTTTGAGGTCTGTCCTTATAATCAGCCTTCATTATGTTGTAATTTTGTATTTCGGCCATACCTTTGAATCTATTTCCGTATGTTTCTTATGAAAATATAGATACTCTGTTTTCTGTACATACCAAGATGTTGTCAGCATATATATATGAAGATGGGTGAGCTATACTGATGATTTAATTGTCTGATTTTTTTTTTTTTAAATTGTGAACACAGATTCAGATGTGTACATACTTCAGTATATATAGCTCTGTGCTTTCTTTTTCTTTCTTTCTTTTTTTTTTCTTTTCATAAGAAATAAATGCCACTGTGTGATGTATTTAAACAGTTTGCTTTTGGTTTTTTTTTCTCTTGTCAAGCTTTCCATCTTTCATGTCTTTTTATGCTGTTCTTGAACCTTTTGATTTGTTCAAGCTCTAGATGCTTAAATTTTGTATACCAGACGAATTCCAGGAAGGAGAAAAGAGACACGTAAAAGACTAGAATTTTTTTGATACCACTGTAATGTCAGTGCTGACAGTGAGAGATGATAGATTAAAAAGAAGGGTTTGAATCTAGTTAAGCATTGAGGAAAGTCGAACTGACAGTTTTCTCTGTGCTCTTGCTCTTTTTTTGTCACCGAAAGAAAAATTTTTTTTTTTCTTAAAGTGAAAGGTAGCTTGCATTTGCCTTATTCTGTTGGTCGTGGTGAAAGTGAAAGTCATAGTGTATTATTTTGTCGTGTCAAAAGGAGGTAATTTTTTCACATTACCTGTGATTGAGATCTGCTTGACGTTATGAGTACTGTGCATGGCCAGATTGTTCTAAGATATTTGGAAAGATTGCAGCATTACTTATACTTATAGATAATTATGGTTCATTTCTTTGTACGAGAAAATACTGAATATGATTTAAAACTTTCATGACAAAAATAATTATGACCAACAAATTTAGGTGCTCTCTTGTTCTCTACGCTTCCCACTGTGAACTTTCTGCAACGGATCAAGTCTCCAATTTGGCCTAAGATGTAGCCAAGTAGTTTAAAAAAAAATTTTTTTTTCTATTCCAATTTAAATGTCAATTGTTGGAGATGAACCCCCTTAGTTCTAGAACACTGACGTTTGTGGTGTCATGGCATTCTTATTAGGCAATAATTAGTAATAGTGTGAATTTAACACCATTTCATATTGCAACAATATTCAAGGCTTGGTCACAATTTTTTGACCATCTCCGATAATATCAAGCCGCGTCTGTGGATGACCTTGAAAACTTTCCAAACAACCCAAGTTCAAGAATGCCTATTGGGAATTCCAAATGATGTCATCCGCACCCTTTCTTATTGCTGTCTTTCAGCCATACCCCTGACCTTAAGGCACCTAGGTAAGGTCTAAACACCAAGCCTTCTTGGATAGTCCAAGGCCGAAAAAATTTGGGGGTTGCGTGCGCTAGATCGCGCATGTTAAAGATCCCTTTGCAGAAAAACCAGCAGTCGACTATCCCTGAGATCTTTCAGGGGTACGCAAAGAAGAAGAAGAAAATCTGCGCCCTAACCCATCATGATAATTGTTCTCTTAGTCTGAGCTAATGCTGAGTCAGCCTCTCCCTCTTCACACAAAAAGACGTGGATTCCCACATCAGAGACACCTTTTTTAACTTTTTATGTATGTAAAATCTCAGCTGGGATGTGTATCATATTTGGCCTGCGTGTGCCTTGACTGGCAAGATTAAAGCAGCCTGCTTTCGTAATGATTCAACAAACTGTCGATGTGGCGTTTATGGTATAGCATGTCAAATGTAGGCTACATGTGCAGCTTACCATAGACGTCAGTAAGTACGCCCACAGATACACACATGTGTGCACACACAAATGTGTTATAATAATACAACATTAAATCTTGACTGCTTCTATGATTTCGACTTGCATCATTTGGATCGCATAAATTGGTAGTAAATTAGTACAGTAAATTGTGATTCAATACCCCCCCCCACCCTCCTCAAAAGGCAAACACACACACACACACGCGCACACACACACACACACACACACACACACACACATGCACACGCACACATGCACACGCACACACATACACGCACATGCCCGCACAATTTTTCAAGGCACATCCGCTGTTTTGGTGGCTTAAAAAAAGCCCCTTTGGAGTAAGGGGAACGATTTCAGAACATTTCCTAATACATGTAGTGGGAATAGCATGTGTCAGCAAAGAAAGAAAAAATTACAGAAATGAAAGACCTAAGACCTATAGCCTTAACATCCGTAGAGTTATAAAATGTCTAGAAAAAAATTGTGCTAAAAAAGACTACGAACATACATACATAGAACCCATCCAGGACCCTCTACATTCGCATTACGGGAGAAGTGTGAAAGACTCCATTCTACTATTTCTTGACAACATATTATATAATAGACACTTGGACAATTCAAAAACATACTGTAGGACCCTGTTTGTTGATTTTCGTCAGCCTTTAATACTATCCAGACAGCTATCCTTTTAAAGAAATTAGAAAACATAGGTGTTTACGTCAATTTAATATCACGGCTGGGCAATTTTCTTACCAAACGAACCCAGTATGTAAAATTAAAACATTCCTCATCGACATACATCACAACAAATATAATACAAGGCCCCCTCAAGGATGTGTTTTGTCACCAGTTTTATTCACACTATTAAACACAAACGATTACCAAATAAGCAACAGTAACATCAAGTTGATAAAATTTACGGATGATTCAACCATAATTAATTGGGCTAATTCAGGCTGACCAATACGAAACCGCTAACCGGAATTTTGTACTTAACTTTTCTGAATAGTGTGAAAATCATAAGCTGCTCTTAAATGTGAAAAACCCCCCCGAAGAACTTGTTGTTGACTTTGGAAAAAAGAAACTGTCACTGCAGCCACTCGAAATTAAATGTGAAAACATCGAGCAAGTGTCAGAATAAATATTTGGGTGTTACATTAAAGTTACAATAGAAAACAAACTCAACTGGCTTTTCCTCACTTCTCTCCTACATAAAAAGAAAAAGTGAACAAAAGACTATTTTTCTAAGGAAGCTGATGCATTTTAAACTTGATAAAACATTGATGTCCATAATATTCTATCTTTCAGCCATAGAAAGTGTATGATCAATTTTTGTACAAACAGCATTGGCAGGGAACATAAGAGTAAGACAACAAGATAAAGAAACATTAAATCGATTAATTTAGTACGGAAAGCATGTAAAATTTCAACATCTACATTCCTCTACTTGGATGAATTGTACACAACAGCTGGAACTAAAAAGAAAAAAAAAAGAAAAAATTCCACCTTTTTAGGCAAACATCCCTTGCTGCCTAAAAAACAAAACAACATCAGTCCGAAGTAAAAGACCTGGCTTCTGATCTTATCTGTAACAAAGAAAGATACAGAACGTCATTTTTACTTTTACCATCATCCATCAAAATTCTTCCATCTTAACCATCTTGTTATAAGTATTCATAAGACCTTAGAGCACGCATCAGAATAACATTGAGTATGTAGGCTATCTAGCTTAGGATCTTTATTGTTTATATTGCTGCTCATTTATACATGTATTGTGCATTTGATTGTAAGCCTGCGTGTGTGTGTGCATGTGTGTGTGTGAGTGGCGTCGGTAGTCTAGTGGTTAGGCTACCGCACTTGATCGTGAGATTGCGGGTTCGGGGTTCGAGCCTCAGCTCGGTCCGACGCTGTGTCCTTGGAAAAGACACTTTACACGAACTTCCCACTTGACTCGGTCCTATCGGAGATGGACGTTAGACGAGGAGGTCCGGCACCTTAAATAACCTAATAGTGTTGATAGGGGCGTTAAACCCATACCATTTCACCATTTGTTTTGGTGTGTGTGTGTGTGTGTGTGTGTGTGTGTGTGTGTGTGTGTGTGTGTGTGTACACGTGATGAAACACCAAACCAATGTGCGAGGATCTGGACAATAAAGATGTATCTTATCTTATCTTGTCTTATCTTATTCTTAAGAATACCTTGATCCTTGATGCATGAATCTGTGTACATGCACACATTATAACGAATACTGGCGTGGCGTTTTTGGGGTTACCGTATTTCAAAACACCACCTCAACTCTCAGAATTATTCTATTGTAATGAATTTTTGATGCAGTGAAATAACATTCAAGCTAATCTAACACAACAGACGAAAATTGTCTAAGTTTAATACTTAATTTTTAAGAAATTAGCAAGAATTTGATTTTCCGAAAAATTAACTGTGAGCTCGATATTGCAAAGAGGAACCGGTTTCGATTCTTAGCATAACAGCTTTGAACTTGGGAAAATATTATACCAGTGTACTCTCAAGAAGCTCAACTACAACAATCTAATTTGTTGAAGTGACAATATGTTTACAATGTGTTACGAGTATTATGTTTTTACGCTTAACAAAAAATTATATTTTGTTGTTTCGCGATTATGTTCGCTTTAGGGATAAAACACCATTCTCCTACCTCTTAAAAAAACCACAACTAATATCATAATGTGTTAGGAAGGCCGGCCCAATATTGTTCATTTTTTTTCTTTGT